TGGATGATGTAAGTATCTAACCCTGAAATTTAGTCATAGCAGTAGGCACAGATACAGCGAGTTCTCCCTGGCCGTAAAAGACTCAGACAAAATGTTCCCTGAGTACAAAGGAACAGTGAATTCCAAGACCCTGAGCTGTGTGAAGGTTTCATAAGAAAGGTAAAGCTTGCAAGATATGAGACTGGAAAATAGGCTTCCTTACTGACTGACTGACTGACTGACTGACAGATTGATTGACTGACTGACTGACTGACTGACTGACTGATTGACTGACTGACTGACTGACTGACTGATTGATTGACTGATTGATTGACTGACTGACTGACTGATTGATTGCGGCTCTCATGTAGCCGGGGCTGGCCTTGAGCTATCTCACTGCTCTGTAGATCTGCCTCAGCTCAGATGTGAGTGTGGAGAGGAGTAGGTAGCTTCTGGAAAATGAGCTGAGCCAGCCAAGTGGGGGGCTGTGCTGGAGCCAGGAGTGACTGGGGGTCAGAGCCCAGGGCAAGGCCTCAGGCCTGCCCTTCTCCTAACTCTCTCTTTGCCCATCTCTAGAGCTGGGGGACCTTCCTCTGGTCCGCCTGGATTTCTCCTGTAACCGTGTCTCCCGAATCCCAGTCTCCTTCTGTCGCCTTAGACACTTGCAGGTCATTCTGCTGGATAGCAACCCCCTGCAGAGTCCACCTGCCCAGGTAAGGTGCAGCCTGGATGGACCTTGAGGACAGTGATGCTGTTAGGTAGCGTGGGAAGGTCCAGCAAGGCTTGGGGAGTCACCTCCTTCTTATACATGTGCCCTTCACACAGATCTGTCTGAAGGGAAAACTTCATATCTTCAAGTATTTAACAATGGAGGCCGGACGGCGGGGAGCTGCCCTCGGGGACCTGGTCCCTTCCCGTCCCCCAAGTTTTAGTCCTTGGTAAGGCCCTTGGTAAGGGGGAGGAATCTCCTCACGACCAGAGAGGGGGAGGAGAAGTGATGCTGGCATGGAGCTGATCAGGTGTCCCTGGCTGCTCCAGCCCCGCTGAAGATGTATTTCCGGGACGTCGGTATGATGGCGGCCTGGACTCAGGCTTCCATAGTGTTGACAGTGGCAGCAAGAGGTGGTCAGGAAATGAGGTGAGGACCTCCTTGGTGAGGGCACTTGGGGACGTCATCACTGGGGGACTCTACTGGGGCCCTGTCCCTGATGACACCCCCAGTGAGAAGTCATGGCTGGGACTCCTCCTCCCCACCGTCCCCAGGAGACTGGTTGGCTCTCCCCCTGACCCGTCTCAGACTCTTCAGGCCTGAACCCATGTGGTCCTCAGCCCTGCAGAGAAGCCCATGACCCATCTCTGCCTCTCTGCCTCAAAGTCCACAGACGACTTTTCAGAACTGTCCTTCAGGATCTCAGAGCTGGCCCGGGAGCCCCGGGGGCCCAGACAACAGAGGGAAGATGGCTCTGGTGAGCAGGGAGTCTGCCCAGGAGGGTGAGGGGTGAGTGTGGGCCTGGAAGCCCCTCCTGCCCACTCACCGAGTGCCCTGACCCTGTAGGTGATGGAGACCTGGAGCAGGTTGACTTTATTGACAGCCACGTTCCCGGGGAAGATGGAGAGCGGAGCCCAGCTGAGGTGAGGCCACTGTGTCCCAGTGCAGGCGAAGGGCGTGACCGGGGAGCAGGCCCGCCTCGAGCCTCTGCTGCTCTCTCTCCAGGAGCAGCCACCTTCCGAGTTCAGCCTTGGAGCAGGGGGTGTGGAGACCCCGTGGAGCAGCAGGTATCCCCGCCCCCAGCCCACTCCACTGCCCACACTCATGAGCCCTGGGGACCTCCGTCGTCACCTGACACAGGTCTCTCTTCTGACAGGCGGGAGGAGCCTGCGGGGGAGGAGAGGCGGCGCCCAGACACTTTGCAGTTGTGGCAGGAGCGGGAGCGGAGGCAGCAGCAGCAGCAGCATGGGGGGTGGGGATCCCCCAGGAGGGACAGGTAAGAGCCGGGCTGGGATGGCTGCAGACAGGGCAGATGCAGACATTCCCTCTTGTGAATGTGTGGCCTGACTGCCCAGCTGAGTCCTCGCCTGCTCCTTCCAGTGTCCTGAAGCGGGGCATCAGAGCCATGGGTGCTGCCACCTCATCCACACAGGCCGCCTCCAAGTAGGTGTCCTCCCCGGAGCCATCTCCCTATGCCTTCCTCGTGGCCTTCTCTGAACCCCTTCTTTTTCTTCAGTGACCAGCCCAAGTCCAGTGCTACCCAGCTGGGTGTTTCAGGGGGGCAGGGAGCTCCCACGCCGTCCCCCACCTCCCAGGAGTCCGTTCCGGCATCTGGACCAGGTAGGATAGCATTTTAGGTGGTGTCTTGGGGTGCTTGGGACATAGAAGCCTGAAGGAAGAGTCGGCCACTGAGGGGATGTCTCTCTTGCCTGCCCTTGGCTTCCCCCCAGTGACAGCTCCTGTCCCCAGGCCACTGGGCTCCATCCAGAGACCAAACAGCTTCCTCTTCCGTTCGTCTTGTCAGAGTGGCTCGGGTGAGTCTGCCCTTCCGGGACTAACCTTAGGGCTCGTGCGCTGTGGGGCTTGTGCCCCTTTATGTGTTTGTTTGATATGTGCTGGTGCTCTGCCTGGTGCTCTGCCTGCATACACTCTGTGTGAGAGCGTGGAGTCCCCTAGGAGCTGCAGTTGCAGACGGCTGTGAGCTGCCGTGGGTGCTGGGAATTGAACCCGGGTCCTCTGGAAGAGCAGCCCTTGCTGTTAACCCGAGCATCTCTCCAGCCCCAGCTGTTGTCCCTTTTTGTGAAAAACCTCCCAGGCTGGCTGGTTCTGGCGTGAGACTGTTGGAAGCTGCTCCCAAGTTTAGCAGTGGAGCAGAGCTATCCCATCCCCTCCCCTCCTAGGTCTTTCCTCTCCAGACTCTGTTGTGAGGTCTCGACCATCTCCTCAGATTCCAGACGAGAAGGAGCTCATGTCCCAGCTTCGACAGGTGAGCAGAGTGGTGTCTGCAGGCAGAGGCCTGGCCCAGCAGGCCACCTCCTTCCCCTTTGTTTCCTCAGGACCCACGCAGCCCTAACTCCCCTTTGTTGCCCTGGAACTGTCATCGAGGAGGGGAAGGGGAGGAGTCAAGTTCCCTGTTGACCCCACCTGCTCCTGTCCCTGCTCCAGGTCCTCGAGTCACGGCTGCAGCAGCCCCTGCCTGAGGACCTGACAGAGGCTCTCGCCAGTGGGGTCATCCTCTGCCAGCTGGCCAACCAGCTGCGGCCCCGCTCTGTACCCTTCATTCATGTGCCCTCGCCGGCTGTGGTCAGTGGAGCCCACGGGGGGGGCGGGACACATGTGTGGCTCTGCGTCTCCAAACTCTGTCCGTTCCCTCCACCCCCAGCCAAAGCTCAGTGCCCTCAAGTCTCGGAAGAATGTAGAGAGTTTCTTAGAAGCCTGCCGAAAGATGGGTGTGCCTGAGGTACGGGGCTGCTCTCTGCTCTGGGTGCTGGTGTGCAGGGCTCAGCTGAACGCCACGCATGCGGGGTGGAGTTCCGTCCACAGGTGTCTAATTGTAGGAAGCATGCGTCCTGGGCTCACCCTCAGGGCTCCAGCCCCGCTCTCCTCCTGTCTCCCTGTCCTGCATGTCTGCTTGTCGGTATGGCTCTGGCTGTGGGCCCGGTGTGTGCGGGCAGGGGTGGAAGGAAGGTCTGTGGCTTGATGCTGCTAACGTCTGTCATTCGTCCTTGTCCATCTGCCCTGCCCTCCCTTCCCAGGCTGACCTGTGCTCGCCCTCAGATCTCCTCCGGGGCACCACCCAGGGGCTGCGGACCGTACTGGAGGCTGTGATCCTGGTGGGGGTCGAGGCCCCTCTCCCATCCCAGCCCTCCTCTGGTCTGGGTGGTTTCCTCCTCTTCTACGTGGCCTCCATGCTGCTGCTCTATGTCGTCTACACGCGCCTCCTGGGCTCCTAGGACCACGCTGTCCTTCCTTCCCTTCCTTCTATTTATAAGTCCTCCTGTTCAGCCATGTCCGCACCACGGTGCCTTCAGCCCCTACCAAAGACTCTAGTGCAGCCTCACAGACACTGACCTCAAGGCCCCGAGTGCCCACGGCAGCCCTTTACCCCACTAGCGCTGACGGTGCCTTTGTGTCCTCCCAGAGGATGGCTGTGCCCTCCTCACCTCCCTCCCCTACTGGCTGCTATGGGGGAGCTAAGCTATCTCTATTTTGTAGAGAGAGAACTCTATATTTGTAGGGATGTGGGCCCATTATGGACCCCTGGTTCTGTGTATAAACTGTATAGACCGTCACTTTCGTGTGTGTTTGTGTGAGCTCCTGCTGCTGCCAGGCCTTGTCCTGCCTGGGCTCCGTGTGTGTCAGCCTGACTGTGCAAGCATTTCCTTTGGAAATGACAGGCCTCCCTGCTCCTGAGCCTTCTGTCACCACTCTTCTGGCATCTGCTGACAGCTTCCATGTGTCATTTGCCCCAGGCCTGGGCCGTCTACCAGGAGCGCCCCCTCCCCCCTTGCTCGGGGAATGCCAGGGGAAAGCTTAACCTGCCCCTCCCCCCAGGAGTCCCTGTGCCAGCCCCACCACATCCTGGAAGAGGAGGGGGCCCCTGGAAGGGGCCTCCCCCACATCGCTGCTGTCCTTCACGCGCTTCTGGAACAACGTTAGGGCTAGAGGTTAGGGCTCTTGGCCCCAGCCACCACCGGACCTGTCCTGGGAGCAGATGACACCTGGGCCCTGCCAGTTAACAAGGACTTGGTGACCACGGCCCTGTGTAGCACTGAGCTTGGGTATCCCCCGCCCTTAGGCGGCTTTGGGTGCAGACCCCGTCTGGGTGAAGAGTGTTGTGTCAAACACAATAAAGAAAAGCCCGAAGGCCTGTAGGCGGGCCCTCAGCTGTGTGCCTGTCTGAGTGTGCGAGCTTCTTGGGGACCCGGCTCCTCCACGGTGGGTCCCGGGGTAATCTGTGATGTTTCTGTGCTGGGTAGGGGGGCTGGAAGGGCACAAGTGCCCCACGGCCCTGCCGCCAGGGGGAGCCCTTGAGAACCTGGCGGGAGCGCGCCACGTGGCTGTAGAAGCTGGCGCAGGCGTCGTGGCGATGCCTCTGAGGTAGGCTAAGACCTGGGCGCCTATGTAGTCAGGAGCGCACGCGGGCGCAGTGGCGGGCATTGCCTGGCGCTCCGGCACTCGCGGGACGCTGCCCTGGCGTGGGCCGTGGGGCACAGGCCGGCAGGAGGCCGCAGAGGACGCAGGCCTCTCCACGGGCAGTGACCGCGGCGCGGGCTGGAGCTCTGCAGAGGAAGCCATGCACGAGCCGGGACCGCCGGGGCAGGGCAGGTGAGGGCTTGGGCCGCTAGGGGGCGTGGTGGGCGCTCGTGGGCCGCATCGGGAGAGGGGTTGCTGGTCCTGAGACCGACCCAAGCCAGCACTGGGCAGGGAAGGGAGCGGAAGGAGCAGCATGTCCTTCCCTTCACACAGGCCACAGCCCCGGGCCCTCAGCCCGGCTGAGCCCGGAAGAAAGCTGCCGCCGCCCTCCAATCACCTGGCTCCCGAGCCGACGGCGGAAGCCCCCGGTAGGCACCGGTCTTGCTGTGTTTACCCACAAGGCCCAGAGATCCAGAGCCTGTTCTACTCTTGTCTCTTTTCTTCGCAGTACCTCTTTCTCCCCAGGTGACTTCCCAGGTCACCCCCTCGAGGATGACCCCGCTGCCACTTTGGGATCCCAGCCACGAGGCTTATGCAAGACCTCAGCCGGTGGTGAGTTGGGGTCTGCGGCTCTGTCTCCAGGTAGCAGAGGTGCCATAAGAGAGACAAACTCAGTCACTTCCTGTTCTCCACAGGGGGCCGGCTGTGGGTCAGGCGGATCTTTGTCGGGCAGGACACTGTGTCATCCTTCCTGGCCCATGTATGATGCCCTGGGCAGGGTCCCTACCTCAGGGCACCCAGGAGAAGCGCAAGTGTCCAAGGATACAGGTACTTCTCTGGCCCCTCACCTCAGCTGGGGTGTTTCTGGGGAGACTGCAGTGAGGGCTGGGGTAGGAGGCCACCAAGCTAGCAGGCTCTCCTCCTAGGGCTCCCAGTGACAGGCTGTGAAGATGTCTTTCTCGTGGACCCTCTGCTGCCCTGTGGGCAGCGTGTTCCCCTGTACCTGTCCAAGCCGCCTCAGCAGGTAAGCGTGGGCCTCCTGCAGACTTGCCCTGCTTCCGCATGCGAGGCCTGGCAGGACAAGCTTCCCGTCCTGTTTTCTCAGGCAGTGGGTGCCCGGACGCTGCAGCCCCCACCTCCCGTCATGACCTCCTCTGTGTGCCCCTGCCCGTCCCAGGCCTGCTCTTCTGCCTGGCTCAGCGAGGCAGAGATGATCGCCCTGACTGCTCTGCTGCAGATGAGCCAGGGCGAGCTGGGGTCTAACGCCGTGGCAAGCCCTCTGACCTCCGCCAGCTGCCCAGGCCCTGGCTCTGAAGACCCAGGCCCCGGTGGTGACCAGCGCTGCTCGGGAAGCTCTGCGCCACGTCCCCCGCAGACCCCAGACACCCACTGTCCATAGCGCCTCCCTCCCCGCTGTTCTGCTGACAATAAATGGTGTTAGTTTGCAGCCCAGGCCCTGTTTTGCCGCGGGGCATGGGATGGAGAGGAGGTCGGGTTCCTTCAAACACTACAGTCACTGCCCTTCCTTAAGTCTCCTTCCTCGTCGGCCACCCACTGCTTGGGGTGGGGAAATCCACTGAGCCAAGACAGTCCGGGTGCAGAGCACCTTTAATGGGTGGGTTGGGTCCACAGTTCTCTAGGAAGTGAGGACTTGGGCAGCTCGGCCAGGCCGAGAGAGCGTCAGGCGAGCCTGGCTGGTGACAGAGGAGGACCCAGGAGGCCAGGCTGCTGGGGGAGGGGAGCACTAACATGGTCCCGGACGCGCCCATCGTTTTTGAACCGGGGCCCTAGGAGCTGTCTCTGGCTTGAAAACGAGTGAGTGGGGTTAAGTGGCCGCAGCTAGCCTGACTGACTGATTCTGCGGGAGTTCCTCAGAGACAAGACCAGGGTCTCAGCTGAGAAGGCCCAGACTTTGTCAGGTTTGGGGGCTTTCTGTTTGGTTGGTTGGTTTTTTGGGTTGGGACAGAGGGGGATTCTAGAACTTTCTCTCTTTAAGAGTCTAATTTCTTGGGAGAACCTCTTCCTGAGGGCTTCTTAGGGGGCACACAGCTGGGCATGGCAAGGGGTCCCTTGCTTCCCTGTGCGGGGGCTGAGGTGTACACTAGTAACTTTCCCTCTCTCCCTTGGCCATCTCCCCAAAGGTTCTAGAACTTGACGCTGCCACAGCTGTGTGGACTATCCCCAGAGGCTGCTCCAGGCACCTCCAAGGGAGGGACTAGGTCCAGATCCACATAGTTGAGGCAGCTGTCCAGGGACCCTGGCTCAGCACTGCTCATTCCTACACAGTCTGGGATGTACATGTAGTCCCCAGATAGTTCTGAAAGCTGGGAAGAGCGAGGCTGAGCCTCTGTGGGTCCCCATCTGTCCCCAACGCTGCAAAGGGCCCCCTGATGCCCAAGTTCAGGCCCCCTGGCCTTGAGCTCGTAGTAAAAAGGCCCTGGTAAAAATCTATTCATGGGCACGTACTCTGTGTTCTCACAATCCTGAAGTGACCTGCCAGGGTCCACCCTGGCAGGGGTGGGAGGAAGGCTTGGGGGTGCCATCCACATGTAGTCCCCAGCCTCTCCTCCCATGCGCATGTAGTCATCCCTGGCTCCCATGGTGATATAGTCCCCGCCCAGATCTAGCCCCTTGGAGGAGGGTGTGGGCCCCATCCTTTCCAAGGTCTTGTGGTCTTGCTTTGATCTCTCACCCGGGCTCCTCGGTTGCGTTACAGAAGCAGGGGTTTCATATGGTACCGGGGCAGGGGCTGCAGACGCACTATCTGGAAAATCTCCGGACAGTGGCTCAGCCTCGTCACTGGTTGCACCGCTCCCCAGCCTCTTCATGGCAGCCAGGACGGTCTCATGAATGCTTTGGGCCACCACTGCGTCGGGTGCCTGCATCCACAGCTCCCCGGGACCTGTGGGCGCTGAGCGCCCGAGTTCTAGGAAGAAGAAGGAGTCTGCATGGCCGCAGCGGCGCACGCTGAGCAAGGACAGGCGCAGGGCCGGTGGTGGCGATGCCCGACTGTCTTTGGAGCCTTTGCTTCCTGGCTTCCGCAGGAGGCTCAGGGCCCCAGAACCCAGGCACAGGCGATAGCTGCCGCTGCTCAGGCCTCGTACGCGCCCCAGCCCCTTGGACCGCAGTGTCACAGGCCAGACGTCCTGGAACGGGGCGAAGATCCAAGACTCAGGGGCCTCTTGGGGACTGAGACCTGGAGAGAATGGGCAAGTCACTGGAAGGCAGGGGTTGGGGGTCACCGTGTCCCAGGAAGCCCAAACGTGAACGTTTAAGGTTTGAACCTTCGATGATCTGGGGGAGGCGGGATCTGGATAGGCTAATTCGGCAACCCCTGCCCTCCCTGACGCCCTGGGCTCACCCATAGCAGTGGCGGCAGCTGCCGCGGCGGAGGCGCGCACCTCCAGCAGGGCGCTGTACCACGCTTGCTGCTCAGCTTCGCTGGCCGCCGCTACGCCCAGGCTGCTGTCGCTGGTGTAGACGACGATCAGGTGGCGCTGGCGGGCGTCCGCACGCTTGCTGATAGTGCAGGCACCCTCCAGGCTCACGCTGCGCCGGGGTCGAGGTGGGCGGCAGCCGCTGGCGAGGAACTTCTTCTCGTTCTCGTAGCACTCCAGACGCGGAGGGTCAGCGCGCAGAACGAAGAAGCGGCGGCGCTGGGACTTCTGCTTCCGCAGGTGGCCACAGAGCCGCACGTCGGGTGGGCAGGGCCAGGGAAATGGAGGGCCAAGGAACGCGTCCGGGGACTCGGCCTCGGGGGACACTGCGGGACCCGCACCTGCCGGCTTCATCTCCAGCAAAGGCAGTCCAGTGCCCTCGGAAGGACTGGCTGGGATAGGTCTGGTCCCCCGAGCCACCTCCGTCTTGGGACGAGTAGCGGGAACCTAGCCGCCCTGCATCGCCCCACGCCCTCTCAAGGAACCGCACACAAGCGTGCACGCGCTCCAGTGGCCGGTGACGCTAGGACTCCCAGCTCTAAGGCTGACACTGCTGAGGTTGACCCTACTGGGTCAGCCTCCTGGTTGGAATCTCCACCCCTTCAAGTTAACCCTCCCACCTACGAGGGCAGGAATTTGAGTTTGGGACTCATAGGCTACAGTAGGAGTCCCGCGCCGCTGGGACCAAACTTTCACAGGGCGGGGAGTGTAGGCGCGGCTCCACCAATCAGCTGACTGGATATGGGGGTGGAGGAGCCCCGCCTGGGACAGCCTGGGGCAATCCCAGAAGGCAGAAAGCCAGGGTGCTGTAGCTGCTGCTAGCGGTGATGGACTAGGGATTAGAAGAGCGGAAAGCGGGCCGTCCCCACAGCCCAGATCCCCAGGCAGGAGCCACCCCGCTCAGTTGCTACCCGGAGGTCCGCAGTGCCCCTCGCCTTCCCATCCAGAGATGTTTTTTTTTTTTTTTTGTGCCTTTGCTGTTCCGGAGTAATTCAGGGATCATAGCTGCTGAACACTGTGTATGCAGACATCCTTACTGCGGTTTCTAAATGAGTGTGGGGCGATGATGTCCCAGAATAGACTAATTAGTAGATTGGTCCCTGGTCACGAACCATACCCACCAGATGCCCATGCATTCAAGTGGCCATTGAGAGACTTGCGAAAGAAGTGGTCGTCTCTCAGGGACACCTTTAAAGAGCTCCTCGCCATCAAGTCCAAACGCTGACCCGAACCTGCCGGTGGCTGTGGGTTCTGTAACAGATGCCTTGTGACCCTCTGCCTCCTGACGCTTGGGTGCGGTCAGAGAGAGCTGTCTGCCTCTGCCCCCTGAGTTTAACACACACTGTGAGTGCACATACTTGCGCCCGATGACCTCTGGAATCATCCTCCTCAGGAGCCATCGCCCTTGCTTTTGAGATAGGCTCACTGGCTTGGAACTTGACTAACAGATTAGGCTAGCTGGCCAGGAGGCCCCAGGGATCTGTCTGACTCCACTTACCCTGTACTGGGATTACAAGTGCAGGCTACCACGACCAGCTTTGAATTATTTATTGTGTGTGTTACGCAGTTGCCTGCATGTGTAGGTCAGAGGACAGCTTTTGGAAGTGGGTTCTTGCCTTCATCTTGAGGCAAAGTCTCTTTCTGCCACTGAGCTGTGCACTCCAGGCATGCTGGCCTGAGAGCTTTAAGGCTAGTTAGTTGTCGCCCTGGCTGTCCTGGAACTCTGTAGACTAGGCTGGCCTCTGCTGCTGAGCTCCACCACCGCCCGGCTGGCAGTGGTCCTCTGTCTTGCTGGGATCATGGCGCATGCCATGAAACCCACTCTTAGTGGATTCGGGGGTCAAGCGCCATCCGGTTTGCACAGCAAGCTCTTTGTCACGCAGCTCTCTCCCCCACCCCTCGGATATTTTGTTTTCCTGGACTAGGACCACTGGTAGAGATCAAGCGAGTGGCACGGGGCGTTCTGTCAAACAAAGCTTGGCTGATGAGGGGTGGGCCTTGGCAGACATGGCGATTCCCCAGTGCTGTGGTGAACAAACCTCTGTGGGGAAAGCTTGGCAGAGGCCAAGCAGGGGACCCTGGTGGGGTATTTGGGGGAGCGGCTCCCTCGGGTAGGGTAAGGGACCTTGGGTCTTTTTCACAGGCTAGTCCAAGGGCAGCCCAAACAGAGGCCCATGGCCCATTTGTAATCTGCAATAGCGGGAAATGACTTGCAGTGATCGTGAGTTGGGTATCTTTGAGCCCTGTGTATAAAGTACTTGTGCAAGTTTGAGGTTGAGCTGGGTCCTCGGGACGTGCAGGCAGCTGGACACGGCCCCCCTCCTCGAGATGGAGAACGGAGACAGCGTGTCCGGCAGCTCTCATCCGCTAGCCTGGAGGATACAGCGGCAAACAGGACTCCATCTCAAGGAAGCCGTCTCCCTCCCTCGGGATTGTTTTGAAGCTATGCAGGAAGGGTCTCTCCCTATCTTCTTCCTGCCTTCCTGAACCTGGTCATCTTGCAAACATCTGTCCTTGTGAAATCACATCTGCTGTCACACAGATGGCCCCAAACCCTGTGTCACTCAGCCCTGCAGGACTGGGTAAAAGACGAACCAGGAAGCAGCAGCCACCTAAGGACCTTCGGTACGAACTAGCAAGAGTTAGAAGCAGTGCCAGGTGCTTGGTCTGCTGGGTACCAGGGAAAGCCTGGCTTACCTCAGTTGCCATAGCAACAACTCTGCTCTTGGCCCTTCTTAAGCATTTTACAGTCTGAAACCCCAGCAACCCCAGTGGGGCTCTGCTAGGTTGGGGGCACATCACACCTATGGGATTTTGTTAGCAGGGAGAGGAGTCTAGTAGAGCCTGTGTCTGGTCCCTGTGACGGCTTAGTCTGTGTGTGTGTGTGTGTGTGGTGGGGAGATTCAGGGGCGAGCTACACAATGAGCTCCCCAATTTGTGTGTGTGTGTGTGTGTGTGGTGGGGAGATTCAGGGGCAAGCTACACAATGAGCTCCCCAATTTGTGTGTGTGTGTGTGTGTGGTGGGGAGATTCAGGGGCGAGCTACACAATGAGCTCCCCAATCATCCCACCCGTGCCTCCCATGTGGAGAAAATCCTAGAGGTTCAGCTCCTTTGTTACCCGGAGGCTGCCCATGGGTGACTGGTGCATGGTATACATGGCTAGAGCACTGGCTAGGGCGTGTGAACGTGTGTGTGTGTGTGCGCGCGCGTGAGCACGTGTGAGCGCGCGTGTATGTGTGTGAGCACGTGAGCGTGCGTGTGTGTGCGCGTGTGTGTACACACCTGTCTAGGTTTCAGCAGTCAGGTGATGCACGCGAAGTCACTCCATCAGGGATGGCTCCATTGTCTTTTCAAGGGCAGTGGCTTCAGCCCCAGCCTCAGCCTATGCCCAGGGAGCGTTTGAGGCTGGGCGGATTCCCAGCCTAGTCACCCAGCCCTGGCCAGAAGACAGGCCAGGACGGGAAGGATGGTGGCTAGGAGGTTCCTGGGGTACAGCACAGTGACTTACACAAAGGACAAAAGGGCCTGGCTTTAGGGCCCTTTAAAGCTGAAGTGACCAGGAGCCAGAGCGAGGGGAGCTGGGTAAAACAAGCTTGGGACTGTGGACGCCCTCACTCCTGGCCTACAGCAGAACCAGGGGAAAGGGAGGCTCTGGAGACGTGGCCCGAGGAGCTGGCCTGACCAGCATGCACGAAGCCTGGGCCTGATCCCCAGAACCTCGTAAAACTGTGTGGTGGTGCATCAGAAATCCGGTCACACTTGGTTACAACTGTGAATTTAGGGCCAGCCCAGGCTACATAGACAGTTCTAGACAAGCCAGGGCTACACAGCAAGAACTTGGCTCAAAAACAGTAGCAGCAAAAAGAAACAGGAGGGGTAGCCCGGGCAGCCTGGGATGGGGGTGGGGTGCACACATTGGGAATCTTAGTGTTTGGGAGGTGAGGGTTAGCCTGAGCTATACAGACCTGGTGGTGATGGGGAGCAGAGTGACAGCACTGGGATCTCTCTGTTTGTCTGTCTCTCCCTCTGTCTCTCTCTCTCTCTCTCCCTGTCTCTCTCCCCCTCTCTCTGTCTCCTCCTCTCTCTCTCTCTCTCTCTCTCTCTCTCTCTCTCTCTCTCTCTCTCTCTCTCTCTCTCTCTCTCTCTCTCTCTACTCCCCCCCCCCTCTCTCTCTCACACACACACACACCAGAAGGGAAGCAGAAACTATGGGAAAATCTGGTACAAAGGCTAGGGGCCAGCTGGGTGTCCTCCCTCCCAGGAGAGGAGGAAGAAGCTAGAGGCTAGTAGGAAACAGCGAGGGACTGAATCTTCTTACAAAGAGGGAAGGGCCACGCCTGGCTTAGCAAATAGCAAGAGCTACAAATCTTTCCAGAAAAGTCTATAAAGCAAAGAGACATAACCTAATTCCCACATCCCTTTGCTGGTCCTTGTGGAAAGCCCAGAGAAATCCTAAGAATGAAGAGTTTAAAGTAAAGGGCTAGGAACTCTTGGCTGAGGTCTGCAGGGCGGGGCCTCCCCAGGCTTGCGGGGTAAACAGCAAGGCCAAGGCCTAGGTCTCTGCTCAGCTGGGGGATTTATCCCAGGCTCAAGCAGCCCAAACACCTGGCTGCTGACACAACAGCCCTGGGCGAGGAGCTGCTGAAGTGCTCAGAACGCTGGCGGGGGTGGGGGTGGGGGGGCTGTTTACCTGTCAAATCCACCTCCCTGAGGCACCTGCGTCCCTGCCTGACCACTGAGCTCCAGCTCCAGATGGGGACCCTCACTGTCCCCTCCTCTTGCTACCGAGGGTACACAGTTTGGCCTTTGGTTGAGGTCACGTGTTTATCAGCCCAGCAGTGGGGATCGGAAGAGCCAAGGGTCAGTCGTGTTGACCAGCCTGTCCACTCCAGCTGGCACAGAGTAAGACACCGAGAGCCACTTTTTTCTGTCAAATGCAGTCTTTTCCAACATCGCCTCAGACAAGCTTTGGTGCAGATACGCGGGAGCCGCGGGAGGAATGGGGAGAAAAGAAAGGACCCCCCCAGTCAATTGCAGACCTCACTGCAAAGGCCTAGGCTCTGGGGTACACGTTCAGATCTATCCTGAGCCCTTTTTTACTTTATCTTTTTACTTCATTCTGAGACACAGTCTCATTAAGTTGCCCAAACAAGCCTTGAACTCACTCTATAACCCAGGCTAGCTTTGAACTTGTGATCCTCCTGTCTCAGTTCCCCAAGTCCTAGGATCACAGGCCCAGCTCTGTCCCCCAAGTTGTCTGAGAGGAAGACTGGCTGGCCTATCTGTTTACATGTGTGTGTGCGTGTATATATGTGTATAGTAGGCTACATTAGAAAACTATTTATAAATATAAAACACTGGTATTCAAACATGACACAGATAACTAAAGTGCCAGGTACACGTCCTCTGCAGGTAAAACTCCCGCATCCTGGGAAGAGAATGGAGATGGAGGAAGGGGGCGGGGCTGAGCCAGGAAAACAAAAGCACTGGACAACAGGAGCTTCCCAGTCCCAGGGCTGGTTGTGGCTGTCTTTACCCTGCATTCCCGGCTTTGCTTCCTTCTGGGAGGAGTGAGGCAGCTAGGAAGGTTGGGCGTGGAGCAGTTGCTCCCTCAGGGGAAGGCCGCTAACTTCTCTTGCCACAGGCCAGGAGGAAGGGACAGGATAGAGGGCCATCTTCAGACTTAATAATCTGACAAATACCCCGCTGTGGGGCCTCCTGGTGAGGGTGTCTTTGCTCCTTCTGGGCTTCTTCCTGGGTAGGTGACCGCAATCAGGGAGGAAGCCTCCGGGAGGCAGACCAGGAGGCCACAGTCTGATTCATTCACAGCCTCGAGCTATGCTCGGCACCTCCCCTGTTCCCAGATCCCTAACCCTGCAAACCAGGCCCAAACCCAGTCTCAGACCCACAGAAATGCCCCACAGGCAGATGGTCACCAGGGCTCTAAGGGGACAGCAGAGCCCCACCCCACCAAGTAGGGGGGGAGCCCCTTCTTCCCCCAAGGACACAGTGCTACAAGAACGGGTTTGTGGTTGGAGGTTTGGAGGCAAATGTTGAGGCTCCAGTCTGGAAAGAAAGAGCAAAAGGTTAGTAGGTTAGCAGGGCGATTGCTGGAAGCCACAGAACATAACTGTGCTTGAAGACCACACAGCAAGGGAGATGGGGGTTGAGGAGGGAGTGGGGCCCAGAGGGGGCCAGGAACTGGGTGTGGTGGCACACACCTGAAATCCCAGTGCTCAGAAGGCTGAGGCAGGAGGATCATGAGTTCTAGGCCAGCCTGAGCTACAACGTGTGACCCAGTCTCAAAAAAGGGAGGGGAAGGGCTGGAGAGACGGCTCAGTGGTTAAGAGCACTGACTGCTCTCTCAGAGGACCTGGGTTCAATTCCCAGCACCCACATGGCAGCTCACAACTGTCTTTTAAGTACAGTTCCAGGGACCTAACACCCTTACACAGGCAAAACACCAATGCACAATAAATTCTTAAAAAAAAAAAAAAACAAGGCTGGGCGTTGGTGGCGCACTCCTTTAATCCCAGGACTCGGGAGGCAGAGGCAGGCAGATCTCTGTGTGAGTTTGAGGCCAGGCTGGACCGACAGCCTCCAAAACAATACAGAGAAACCCTGTCTCGTAAAACCAAAAAAAAAGGCAGGAAGGATATTGATTCTCTGGATGAAAGCATTTGCTGTGAGAACATGAGCACAAATCTGCAGAGCCCACGAAAGAGCTAGTGTGGTCACTCCTAGACCTGCAACCCCAGTGTTGTGGGGACGGCGACAGCGGGTTTGTTGGCCACCAGACTAGCTTGTCCAGGGTCAGTGAGAGGCCCCGCCTCCAGAACAGAGGTGGAGGGTGATAGAGGAGGACACCCGACACCCCCTGTGGCCTCTGTGGATGCATGGTGCGCGTGTGAGTGCACACACATGGACACACACTCACACACGCAACAACACTCACACACAGCACACACTCAACGCACACAACACTCACACACAACACACACGGACACACTCACATACTCATGCACACACATGGACACACTCACGCAACACACACTCACGCGCACAACACACACTCACGCACACAACACACACGGACACACTCACACACTCATGCACACACATGGACACACACGCACACAACACACACTCACACTCACAACACACACTCACGCAACAACATACACTCACACTCATGTGCACACTCACACTCACGGACACACACTCACACACACAACACACACTCATGCACACAACACACACACTCACGGACACGCACTCACACTCATGCACACACTCACACTCACGGACACACACTCACACACATCACACACTCACACTCATGCACACACTCACACTCACGGACACACTCACAACACACTCACACACACGGGCGCGTGCACACACATACGAGTGAGCACGCACACACGGGCACACACTCACACACACACTCACACACATGGACACACACACATACACTCACACGCACACACACGGACACACACACACAAACTCAAGGACGGGATCTTAGTCATATTCCGCTTCCGTCTTCTGGAAAGGTGTGTCCTCAGTGTCATAGTGCGGTACTCACCATGAAGGGGTTGGTAGAGACCCCAGGTGCCTGGCTCAGAGGCCTCTGCCCCAGCTTGGAGGTTCCCAAGTCACCAAAGGAAGAGCCTAGGAGGCAAGGACAATACTTGGCTGAGTGTGTTTGTCACCTTCCTGGGGGGCCACCTCACACCCCCGGTGCATACCCAGGAGGGACCCTTCCAGAATTCTCGGAAGAAAACTATGGAGTCATCAGGGGACACAGGCAGGTCTACAGCTCATCTGGTCCCTCTCCTCGTCAGAAAGACTCTCTCTCTGTGTAAAATCCAGGTAGCACCTCCCTTTCCCCCATAGGTTGAAGCAACTATGAGATTCAAGCAACTATGGACTGAAAAAAATCTTCAAAAAATGTTTTGGCGAGGCAGTGGTGGCTCACGCCTTTAGTCCCAGCACTCGGGAGGCAGAGGCAGGTGGATCTCTGTGAGTTCAAGGCCAGCCTGGTCTACAGAGCGAGTTCCAGGACAGCCTCCAAAGCAATACAGAGAAACCCTGTCTCGAAAACAAAACAAAACAAGCTGTTTCCAGGGTTCAAATCAAGGAATGTGGTGGCTCAAACCGTTTGCAGCTCCTGTAAGGGGATCTGATGCCCTCTGCTGGCCTCTTTGGACATTGCATGCACAAGACACAGATGCAGGCAAAACACCCATACATACAAAATAAAAATTCCTCTTAAAAAGGATACATATGGGGAGGTGTGTGTGTGTGTGTGTGTGTGTGTAAATTACTCCCTTCTTTATTGTACCGGGAACAAAACCCAGTGCCTCACGTATGCTAGGCAAGGCTCTACCAGAGAGAGCCACACCTCTGTCCTCTTTCCACGTGTGCAGTCAGGTCTTTGACTGGGGTTACAGTGTGCACACCTGTGTGCAGGGTCCTGTGATGCTGTGCCGCTGACATGAAGAACATCTGTGGGGGCCCGGGGCAGACTGCACCAACATACCACTGGGGAGGGGCTCACCCCAGCCCTCTTACCAGTCTGCTGCTCGGTCAGCGCAGCCTGTGTGGGGAACATCGGTGCAGGGAAGGGGCTGGCAAACGCCCCGGGGGGCGGCACTGGCTGGAGGAGGCCGGGCCCAACACTGCTCATCCCGAAGCCAGGTCCTGTGGGATGAGATGGGAGGAGGCTCAGGCGAACGTCAGGCAGGAGAGAGGGCACGTGTTTTTTCCGCTAACCTCCCCTGTATGGGAGGTGGGGTCACTTTTTCCACAGTGGAAGGACCCTGAATGAAGACTGAGACTCATTCGGCTCCTTTCCACACCCCTACTCGGGGCTCTCGGCTTGGCCGGTGCAGCTCTCGTGAACCGCACTGAACCCTTAGCAGTCATTCAGCACGGTGAATTCATTGTCTTCCCCCTCTCTCCCTTTTATGGAACAGGGTCTCATGTAGCCCAAGCTGTCCTTGAACTCACCTTGAGCTCGATCCTGACCTGTGTCCCTAGTGCCGGGATGACCGATGGTGCCCGTCTCACAGGGTCACCGTGAGAGCTACGGTGTGAGGTACGCGGCATGCCCGTAGCCGGGCTTTCTCTGGGCGCTCTCCTGCTCTTCCCGGCCTGGGGCTCCATCGAGCTAAGGGGCGTTGAGGGGCTTGAGGGGACCCTGCAGAGGCTTGGACCTGCAGATGGCTCTAGCCTGGGCTGGTGGACACAGTGGTGGGGGGCGTGGGCAGCTGACTACTCTTTGGGTAGCCAGAGACATAGGGTCAGGGGACTCTGCACCCTACAAAGGTGGAAGGCAGCTCTGGACTTACCCGAGGCCAGGCCATTGGGCTGGAACGGGTTGGTAGAAGGCAGCTGGGGTTGGGCAGGGGTGGTGAAGGGGTTGGTGAAGGCTGCACACAGGAGAGGGGGAGGGGAGAAAAAGATAGATTGAGTCCCTCAGTCTTGGGGTGCCTCTCCCACCCTTCCCAGGTCTCCACGGGTAGGACTCACCTCCAAAGGGGAACCCCGCACTGCTGCTAACGCCTGGCACGGCCGGCTGTAGCGCAGGAACCTGGCTGGGCATCCCGAAAACACTGTGGCACGGGGAGAAGGTGGGAATGGGCATCTTCCAGGAGGAGCAGAGCAGGGGATCGAGGAGCCCACAGCGCTACCCCAGGCCAGGCCGCCGAGGCGAGAACAAGCAAGCCACCAAGCACTATCCGTCTGGGACAATGCCACCCACCTGCCAGGGAGACCTCCAGCTGCCACCCTGGGTCCCAGGAGGCCACCCACATCTGCAAGGCTGCTGGGCTGAGTGGCAGTCTCGAGAGGAGCAACCCCAAATGCGGACATCTGGCTGCTCCCTGAATGACGAGATAAGACAAGGAGGCGGGGTGAGACTGGTGGCGGGGGCAGAAGAGGGCATGGGAGGGGTGACAGGTGAGGTGCCTCCTGGACTCTCCGAGACAGCCGTTTTCCCATGACCACCTAGCATGGGTAAGGGAACGGCCCAGGTCTTCTCCAGCTCCCCGGGGCTGTAAGCCACCACCCTCATGCTGTACAGTTGATCTGTACGTCCTAGACAGATGCCTGTCTGCCTGTCTCCTCAGCAAAACTGCATGCCTCTCCTCCTTCCTCCCCCCCCCTCGATAGGGTTTCTCTGTGGCCTTGAAGCCTGTCCCAGAACTCCCTCTGTAGACCAGGCTGGCCTCGAACCCATGGAGATCTGCCTGCCTCTGCCTCCTGAGTGCTGAGAGGTTAAAGGCGTGCGCCACCACTGCCCGGCTCCTTCCTCTCTCATTTGCGATGGGGTCTGGCCTTGAAGCCTCCTCTGTCTCCTTGTGTCAGCCTCCCAAGTGCTAAGATTACAGATATGCCTGGGGTGTATGGGGCTAGGGATTGGATCCAGGGCTTTGGGTATCAAGACACTCTACCAACCGAGCTGTAGTCCTAGCTCCTAATTAATTACTTTTAAATTAGTTAGCTGGGCAGTGGTGGCACACACCTTTAATCTCAGCAGTCAGGAGGCAGGTGCATCTTTGAGTTTGAGGCTAGCCTGGTCTATAGAGTTTCAGGACAGCCAAGGCTAGACAGAGAAACCTTGTCTCTAAAAAGCTAAACCAATCAAACCAACCAAACAAACAAACAAATGGGTTTATTAACTGTACCAAGAATCAAATCTAGGGCCGGGCATTGGTGACGCCCGCCTTTAATCCCATCACTTGGGAGGCAGAGGCAGGCAGATCACTGTGAGTTTGAGACCAGCCTGGTCTACAGAGTGAGTTCCAGGTCAGCCTCCAAAGCCACAAACTCTGTCTCGAAAAAAACCAAAAAAACAACAACAACAAAAAAGAATCAAATCTAAGGTCCTGTGTATGTTAGGTATACGCCCTACTATGGAGCTCTGTCCCAAACCTTTGATGTTTTCAAACGGGGCCTTACTTCATAGTCCGGGTAGACCTAGAACTTGTAGCAATCCTACTCAGCTTCCTGAGTGTTGGGAGGCCACCAAACTCAGTGTTGTCCCCACACGCCCAAAGTGGTGCTGCGTAGGAACCCCAGGACGTTGTGAATGCTAGGGAAGTACTCCCAGCCACACTCCGGTTCAGTCCTGGCTTCTTCAGATGCCCCAACGCTGTATGGCATGTCTGTGCCTGCCTCCTTGAAAGGCCAGATTTGTTTTTAAACGCGTATTTGTGTGTGGGTGCGAGTGCTTTTTACGCAGGCTCTGGAGATCGAACTCGGGTCATCAGGCTTGCACAGCAAGAGCCTTTCACCCATGAGTCATCTTGACAGCCCCCATCCAGGCTTCTCACCACAGGATACGAGGCGGTAGATCTGGGTCGTGCTTCTCCCCTGCCTGCCTGACTCAGAGCACATGGGGTTTCTGAACAAACGCAGCTACCTCCAGGCATGAGTCAACTCTTCAGGGCTGCCTGGGTCTCCATGTTCCAGCTGCTTCCCCAGAGTGAGCTTCCCACCCTCGCTGGCTCAGTCTGAGAACTGCTTCCCTGTGGGCACCAGAGGGCAGAGCTGCGCTGAAAACTCAGGTCACCGGGAGCCAACACCAGCTCCAAGGCAGCAGTTTGCTATTTATTCCTTAATTTTTTCCATAGCGGGATGCACACCGAGGCCGAGGGCTCCCACTAGCTGGTCCTCTTCTTCCACCACGTGGGCCCCAGGGATCAAACTCAGGTCGTAGGGCGTGGCTGCAGATGCTCTTACCCCCGGGGCCACCTCGTTGGCCTCAAGACACTGGGTGTTTAGCAATCTCCCGTTTGCACACTCCTCTGACCTCACAAATAAAACCCAGCCTGACAGGGCAGTGGTGGTCCACGCCTTAAATCCCAGCACTTGGGTGGAAGACGCAGGCTGATCTCCGTGAGCTAGAGGCCAGCCTGGTCTACAGATCGGGTTGTAGGACGGTTAGGATTGTTACACAGAGAAACCCTGACTTGCAAAACTAAAAACAAACAAATACAGCCCAGCAGCCTGTCAGCAGAGCTACCCACCTCTCAGAATCTCTCAGCAAGTTCAATAGATCCCTCTGTCCTTTGTTGCTGGGGATGCAGCCAGGGTGTCACATGTACTAGGCAGGAGCTGTACCCCTGAGCTACATCCTGTCTAACGGCACGGTGGCAGGATTTGGGGTAGGGTGTGGACTGTCTGCAGGTAGAGACATCCAGGCCCGATGCTGGGAGTCTCGGGACTTCCTTCTTCCGGATAGAAACCGGCTCCATCTGGAATGCAGCCAGTTGTGTTACCGGCAGGCATCCCCAGCCGTGGCCCTCTCTGTCTTTTCAGGCAGGGTCTCACGTGTTCCAGGCTGGCCTCGAACCCCCTGTGTAGGTGATGACCTCAAACTTCTGAGTACCAGGACGACAGGCCTGGCCTGCCATGCCTGATTTACGTGGTGATAAGGACCAAACCTAGAGCCGTGGACAAGCTAGGCAAACACCATACTAACCTAACTATATGAAATACAAGTTAAAACATTCAAAGACGCCTTTAAATTTTCTTTACTTGTATGAGCATTTTGCTTGCAGATATGTATGTGTACTGTATACCTGGTGCACGGGGCCAGAAAGGAATAGCAGGTTCCCCAGAACTGGAGTCACAGACGCTAAACAGGTCTCAGGCCACCCTCAGCTGGTTCCCGAATGCACCGTGTACATTCATCTCATGAAGGAGAGACGGAAAGCTTCAAATTTCTGTTAGGTTAGGTTGGGCGGTGGCGCACACCTTTACTCCCAGCACTCAGGAAGCAGAGGCAGGCAAATCTCTGAGTTCAAGGCCAGCCTGGTCTACAGAGTGAGTCTCAGGACAGCCAGGGCTACATAGAAAAACCCTATTCAGAAAAAAAATAATAAAACCAACAAAAAATTCTCATTATGTCTAGTCATCTGTTCTTTGTTAGTCTCAAGGCTGAATTGCCAGTTATGGGAACCTCTATATGGGGTTTTCTTGTTTTCGTTTTTTGGTTTTTGAGACAGGGTTTCTCTGTGGCTTTGGAGGCTGTCCTGGAACTCACTCTGTAGACCAGGCTGGCCTCGAACTCACAGAGATCCGCCTGCCTCTGCCTCCCGAGTGCTGGGATTAAAGGCATATACCGCCCAGCTTCTATATGGGTTTTAACATACATACTTTTTAAAAAATTTATTTATTATGAATACCACATCCTCCATATGTGTCTGCACGCCAGAAGAGGGCACCAGGTCTCACTACAGATGGCTGTGAGCCACCATGTGGTTGCTGGGAATTGAACTCATGACCTCTGGAAGATCAGCCAGGGCTCTTAACACCTCTGAGCCGTCTGTCCAGCCCACATACATACTTCTTATATTTATGTGTTGATTAGTGTGTGTCCAGGATGCTAGGTGCCAGGTGAAACTCTGATGACAACTTTCCTCAGCTGCTTCTTTTCTTCCACGAGTGAGGGATTGGACTGTGACGGTCAGGATTGGCAGGCAGTGTGAACTTTTAGCCAACAGGAAATCTTGTCAGCCTGGATTTTAACTTGTATCAGTATAAAACAAAGTCCTCGTGAAGGCATGAGGACTGAAAGTTCAAGACCAGTGTGAACAACTTAGATCCTGTTCCAAACTAAAAATGATGAGGGTTATAGTTCAGTAGTAAAGTACCTTACTACACTCCTCAGTGAGTACCTTGGGCGTGGCTCAGTGGTAGAGTCCCTGCCTAGAATTCCCCAGTGAGGGGCTGGGGTGTGGCTCAGTGGTAGAAGCACCTGCCTAGAATTCCCCAGTGAGGGGCTGGGGCGTGGCTCAGTGATAGAGCACCTGCCTAGAATTCCCCAGTGAGGGGCTGGGGTGTGGCTCAGTGGTAGAAGCACCTGCCTAGAACTCCCCAGTGAGGGGCTGGGGTGTGGCTCAGTGGTAGAGTCCCTGCCTAGAATCCCCCAGTGAGGGGCTGGGGCGTGGCTCAGTGGCAGAGCACAGTAGGAGTGAGTAGCTCCAGGTAAAATGGTTGCCTGAGACCGATGTTCAATTTCCAGTACCACAAAATCAGTCAATCTAAACCAAAGCAGCCATGCAGTTCTGAGTGGCACAGTGGGGACGTTAAGGGCAGAGTCAGGAAGTCTTAGTCCTGCCATTCTGGGTTGCACAATTACGTAATCTGTTTTATAACGCTGTATTTTCTTCACTTTGGTGATAGACTCCAGGCTTTCTAGCACAGTAACTACATACCTTACCACTTGAGTCATACATACCTTGGCTACGTTTTTAAATTTATTTTTGAGACAGGGTCTCACTATGTAGCCCCTTTTGTCCTGGTACTCACTCTGTAGACCAGGTTGGCCTTGAACTCACAAAGATCTGCCTGCCTCTGCCTCCTGAGTTCTGGGGTTAAAGGTGTGCGCCACCACCGCCCAGCTACACGTCTGAAGGCTTCAGAGGAACTTGAGTAGGTTGAGGGCTGCAGAGAAGGACTCACCAACGCCGTAACTTCCGGTAAGCATCCGACCGGCTGCCAGTGAGGGTGGAGAAGGGAGGGCAAAGGGAGGAGAGAGAGTGAGTCACCGACTTGTCCCCGGACATCTGGTCTCTACAGCCCTTCAGCTGCCAAACCCTGCTGTCAGAACAGCCAAAGGAGGGAAGGCAGCCTCAGGGCTGTGGAGACCAACGCCGTGGGCTTTGGGAAGAACTGGAGGCTTGAAGGGGACCCAGAGCCTCCTGGGATTCCTAAAAACACAGCCCTTGGTTTTGAAGACCTTTGACCTTGGAAGGGGTGGGTGTAGATGCCTGGGACCACCTGGAACTTGACTGAGACACTTGGCCCTTTTGGGCAGGACATTGCAGACAATGGGAACAGGATGCCCACAGTTTTACAGGACTCGGGCCTCCACTATTTCCAGGCAGAACCTTTCTGCCTGGGTTGGAGGAGCAGCCAGATGGCCTAGCAGGTAAAGACACTTGTTATGCAAGTCTGAAGACTTGAGTTCGGTCCCCAGGAGCACATCAAAGTTGTCATCTGACCTCTGCGTGAGTGCTGTGACATGCACGGGCCTGCCTGAGTGTGCATGCACACATACAAATACCCAAAGTATTCTTTAAAAATAAGAAAATTGGGCCAGGCGGTGGTGGCGCACACCTTTAATTCCAGCACTCAGGAGGCAGAGGCAGACAGTCTCAAAAAACCAAAATAAAATAAAATAAAAATAAGAAAATTGTCTTGGGGTAGAATCTGTGCTGACAGTGTAGCAATTTTCCTTATGTGGAAAAAACAGAACCACAGCGCCCTCTGTCCATGAGCGGTGGGTCCCACACTTGTCACGAAGCAGTCGACGGGACGGGAAGGGGGGAGGTGACATGGAAGTGGACAGTTGATGCTGTTGCCAGACAGGCAGGAAATGGGGAGGCAGTTTACCTGCAGGGGTGGGCTGGGCCTGGAACGGGGCTTGGACCGACGGAGGGAGGCTTCCAAAGGCGGGAGCGCCGGGGCTGCTGCTGAAGGCATCGAAGTTGGCAAAGCCTCCATGGGGAGGAGTCTGGCCTACAGCGGAGGGGATACAGGGGCTGCGTGAAGGCAGTGCATGCGCAGCCAGACGTGCTGGTGTCTTAGGGTTTCTACTGCTGTGAGGAGACACCACGGCCACACACGGCAACTCTTATAGGAAACATTTCATCCAGGTGGTGGCGTACAGTTCGGAGGTCTCGTCCATTATTGTCATGGCGGGGAGCACAGCGGTGAGCAGGCAGACAGTGCTGGCCACATCTTAATCAGAAGGCCACAGGGAGTGGACTGTCTCATTGGAAATAGCCCGAGCATAGGAGACCTCGGGCCCACCCCCACAGGGACACACGTCCTCCAACAAGACCACACCTGCTAGTAGGCCGCTCCCTTTGGGGGCCATGTTCTTTCAAACCCCCAGTTATAGTTTGCCAACTTGAAACAAGCCAAAGTCATTTAGTAAGAGGGACCTCAAATTGAGAAAGGGCTCCACCAAACACTGTGGTGCCCGCTCTTAATTCCAGCATTTGGGAGGCAGAGACAAGCGGTCTCTGTGCATTCAAAGCCAGCCTGGTCTATATGGTGAGTTCTAGGACGGCCAAGGTTCTAGAGACCTCCATCTCCATCCCGTCACCAAAATGAGAGAGAGAGAGGAAGTACCTCCACCAGACTGACCTGGAGGCAAGGCTGTGGGGCATTTTCTTGACTAATACGAGGGGCCCAGCCCAGTGAAAGCACAGGTGGTTCCGGGTTCTATAAGAAGCAGGCGGGGGCTGGGGAGCACTTGCTGCCCTTGCCAAGGACCCAGGTTCCATTCCCAGCATCCACACGGGGCAGCCCAGAACCCCTTGTAACTCCAGCTCCAGGGGCTCTGACACCCTCTTCTGTGGGTACCTTTACATTAAATAAGCATATGGGACCTGTACACATTCATAAACATACTTATTAAAAAAAAAAGAAGAAGAAAGCAGGCTGACTAGTCTACATAGCATGTTCCAGGTCAGTCAGAGCTACAGTGAGACCCTGTCTCAAAACTTTAAAACAAAACAAAACAGCAAGTGGGCTGGGCAAGCCGTAAGGAACAAGCCGTAAGGAACAAGCCGTAAGGAACAAGCCGTGGGCAGGGTGACTTCTCAGTTTCTGCTTCACTTCCTGCCTCTTTCAAGGGGCGGTGAAGCAGGACATGGAAGCCCAACCAACCCTTTCCTCCCCAAACTGGTTTTGGTCAGTGTTTTATCACAGCAACAGAAACCTAATTAAGACACCAAGTGGCCGGGCGGTGGTGGCACACGCCTTTAATCCCAGCACTCGGGAGGCAGAGGCAGGTGGATCTCTGCGTTTGAGACCAGCTTGGTCTACAGAGTGAGTTCCAGGACAGGCTCCAAAGCCACAGAGAAACCCTGCCTCGAACCCCCATCCCCTAAAAAAAAAGACACCAAGCATGAGAGCTCACACCTGTGACCCCAGCACTCAGGAGGCTGGAGTGGGAAAATCATGGGTTTGAAACCAGCCTGAGCTACATAGCATGAGTCAGCCAGTCTCCTCCCCCACCTCCAGTCCCCAGAACCCATGTGATGTGCTTATAATCCTAGCACTAGAGACACAGAGACACGTGGATCCCTGGGACCCACTGGCCAGTCAGCCTAGCATACGTGGCAAGCTCCAGGCCAGTGAGAAACTGGCTTTTGTTTGTTTTATTTTAATTAAAAAGGCTGGTGCTGAAGGAACGGCTCAGTGGTTAAGAGCACTTGATTTTGCCGAGGACGGGGTTCGACGGCCAGCACTCACAGGGTGACTCAGTCATCTGTAAACCCAATTCCAGAGGACATACAGCCCCTCTTCTGGCCTCTGTGGGCACCGGCATGCATGAGACACGCACACACACACGTATGTGAAACATTTACACATATAAAGTAAATAAATACTTCTTAAAAGTACAAAGAAAAGAAAGGTGGCTGGTAGTAGAGGAACAATGGTCAAGAAAGTTCTCTGGCCTCTAGGCACACACACGAACAAGGTGGGGAAAATTATCCAGCTTTGTGTTTCCAGCTTCAGGCACGCACCACGACGTCTGGCTCCCTTCCTCCCAGCTTAGCAGAGATAAAGCAAGCAAATGGCTTTGTGACCGCTAAAGGAGGTGCTGCCCCCACACACTTCACGGCTAACCCCCAAATATAGTCCATGCTGTCCCCTGACTCCTGTTCTGCCAGCCACAGATGAGCCAGGCCCCAGAGGACTGAGGGTCTTTGCAGATACAGATATACAGGAGACACGTACAGGGGCACTTACCTCCAAAGGCCGGGAATGCAGCAAAGGCTGGTGCCACCTGCGGAGCGGCAAAGGGGTCTCCGCCGATATCGGCCAGCAGGTCGGTGCTGGCTTTCTTGGTGGACGGCTGGGAGCTCCTGGCCTGGGCTGTACGAGTCTGAGACTGGTTGGCAGACTTGGGAAAGAATTGTGTGTGATAGTCAGAATGCCCACCCCCTGCCCTGTGCATGCCCTGGGTCCCGCCAGAGCGTCCCAGGCTGCCCCCAGTTAAGCAGAGAGAAAGAAGGCACGGTAAGGTGGTGCCCTCGGCTGAGAGGGTTCTCATGAAAAAGTCACCTAAGTGCCTCATTTTTTTTTCTTTTCTTCTTTTTGCTTTTGTTTTTCAAGGCAGGATTTCTCTGTGTTTCAGCTCTGAATGTCCTGGAACTCACTCTGTAGACCAGGCTGTCCTCGAACTCACAGAGATCTGCCTGCCTCTGCCTCCCGAGTGCTGGGATTAAAGGCGTGAACTACCACCGCCTGACTCTCTTCCTTTTAATTTGGTATGTACGGGTGTTTTGTCTGCATTTATATATGTATACCACGTGTGTGAGCTGGAAGAGTGTGCTGGGTCCCCCCAGAGCTCTAAACACCTCTTGTGACTCAGCTAACCCTCTCTCAGATCCCAGCCCCAAGAATCAGGTGTTTGAGAGATGCAGCCTGGCAGCCTGTGGCTCAGTGCCCAGGAATCTCACTTCTGTATCTTTGCCGGGTACGGGAAGCGCTGTATGAGCTCCTCCGAAGGGAGGGTCAGGACTGAGGGTCACTAGGGACCACTTCCTGCTGGGGTCCCAGATACCAGATGCAAGCCAGAGGACGCAGCAGGGCTGAGAACCAGCTTCCAGATCCTAGACTGACGCCCCCGTCCCACACAATCTAAACCAAACCTCTGGGAATGGGAGGATCAGGTCGGAGGGTCACCTGGCTTGAAGAGGAAGCAGCATCAGAGAGAGATGGCACAGGGTCTCCCAGAAGTGTCCGCACGGGTTTCCCTTCTGGGACAGAGCCTTGGGCAGGGGTGGAGGCACTGCCTTTGCTGTAGGAGGAGCCTTTGGCTTGCTCCGGGGGGACATACCTGTGAGGAAGAACAGCTGTGCTGTGAAAGAGAAAAACTTGGACCGTGCTTAGAGACGTGAGGGGGATGCTTTCTGTGTATGTGTTTCTCTTATTGGTTGATGAATAAAACACTGTTTGGCCAATAAAGGCAGGATGATAGGTGGGGCTAGGAGACGAGGAGAATTCTGGGGAGAGGGGCAGAGAGGTTACCACAAGAAGTGCCACGTAGCCACCAAAGAAGTAACAGGTCCTGGCATTCTCCGGTAAGCCAAGACCATGCAGAAATACAGATTTATAGAAATGGGTTAATAATGAAGACAGAGCTAGCCAGTAAGAAGTCCTGCCATCGGCCAACAGTTTTATAATTAATACAGCATCCATGTGTTTATTTGGGGCTGAAGGGTGGCAGGACCTGGAAGGACAAAACTCCAGTAACAGAGGTTGTTGAGAAAACACAAGTTACAGGGTCAAAGTTTTTATCGTTGCTTTATCAGTTCCTTTATGTGAATAATAATGATCAAACAATGTTCTCTTCAGTGTGCCTTTCCTCTTCTGTAATCTGGGCTTTGTGCATGCAAGGTAAATGCTGTACTACTGAGTCACACCCCTGCCCCTCACTGGGGGATTCTAGGCAGGAGCTCTACCACTGAGCCACACCCCAGCCCCTCACTGGGGGATTCTGGGCAGGTGCTCTACCACTGAGCCACACCCCAGCCCCTCACTGGGGATTCTAGGCAGGTGCTCTACCACTGAGCCACACCCCAGCCCCTCACTGGGGGATTCTAGGCAGGGGCTCTACCACTGAGCCACACCCCAGCCCCTCACTGGGGGATTCTAGGCAGGAGCTCTACCACTGAGCCACATCCAAGACCACTAGGGCAGGTTCTACCATACCCAGCTGCCCACTGGATATCTTAATGCATCTTTCTTTACTTTGTATTAAGGTTGTTTTATTAGTGTGTGTCTGTGTATGTGTGTGTGTGCGTGCATGTGTTTGTGTGCGAGTGTCTGTGCGTGTGTGTGCCACTGAAGGTCAGAGGACAACCTGCTCTCTCATTCCACCACGTGGGTCCCAGGGTCATCAGGCGCCTTTACCTGCTAAGCTTTCTTGCTGTCACTGTTTTGGCTTTTGAGACCCAGTCACTAAGTACCTGTAAATGACTTAACTGACCCTCCTGCCTCAGTCCCAGAGTGCTGGGTCTCCAGGTGTATACTAGCTACCGTGCCCAGATTTTGATAAATATTTCCTTCGGGTTTCTCTGGGTTGGGGTTATTTTCTTCCTTTTTAAAGAACTTATTTTTTTCCAAGACAGGGTTTTAATATGTAACTTTGCTGTCCTGGAACGCACTCTGTAGCAGTGATCTGCCTGTCTCTGCCTCTCAAGTGGTTGAATTAAAGGCCTGTACCACCACACCCAGATTCTTTAAAGAATTTTCTTTTAAGATTTTATTTATTTACTTATTATTAAGTATATGGTGTTCTGCCTACACGCCACAAGAGGGCACTATATCTCCTTACAGATGGTTGTGAGCCACCATGTGGTTGCTGGGAATTGAACTCAGGACCTGTGGAAGAGAAGTCAGTGCTCTTAACCTCTGAGCCATCTCTCCAGGCCCCTCTTTAAAGAATTTTTTAATTATCCCATGTTAATTGTACAAAATAACAGATTTCACCAGGTGCTGGAGGCACATGCCTTTAATACCTGTACTATAAAGGCAGAGGCAAAAGGATCTCTCCATTTAGGGCCAGTTAGGTCTACAACTGAGTTCCAGGATGGCCAAGGCTACACAGATGAACCCTGCCTCGAAAAACAAAACTAACCAAAAAACAAAACAAAAACAAACCAATAAAAAAAAAGGATTTCTCTCTTTCTTCATTTGACATCTCAAGCCATCTTGATTTTAAGAAACCAGACACAATAATCTGGATGGAACAATTTATTTTCCAACTTCCTTTTTCTTTTTTAAAAAAAGACTTTATTTCTTACTTATATGAGTGTTCTACCTGCATGCAGACCAGCAGAGGGCGCCAGATCTCACTACTGATGGTTCTGAGTCACCATGTGGGTGATGGGAATTGAACTCAGGACCTGTGGAAGAACAGCCAGTGCTCTTAACCTCTGAGCCATCTCTCCAGCCCCTCTAACTTCCTTCTAGAAGCTCCCTTTAACTTTCTGGGTCTCTCCCTGCCTCTGTCTCTCTCTTAGTCTCTTAGTGCTAGGGATTGAAGTCAGGGCCTCCCACAGGTTACTCAGAAGCCCCTTTTGTCCTTTGAGACAGGGTTTCACGAAGTTGCCCAGGCCCTCAGCCTCTGGGGTAGCTGGGATCACCGGCTGCATTACCAGATTTCCTTATTTCTTCCTCTCTGTTCCACAGAGAGCAAGTCTGTACCTTGTCCAAATGGAGCTCAGCCTGTCCCAATCTCTGGCTCCTGCTGGAGAACCCCTCCCCACTCCCTGCATACAACCCTTATTCTAGAAGCATCTTAATGCTAGGACACCCCAAGGAAGTGGTCTCAGGCTCAGTGGGTAAAGTGCTTGTTGCAGAACCATGAGGACTTGAGTTCAGACCCCCAGCACCCGCCTGAGGTTAGGCTGGTGTATCTGTAATCCCAGCTCTAGGTCCCAGGGTCTCACCTGGAAGATAATCTAGCTAAACTGACAAGGGCCAGGTTCACCGAAGGATCCTGCCTCAACAACTGAAACGGAGGGCTGGCGATTTGGCTTAGTGGGTTAAGGGGCTTGCTGCCAAGTCTGATGACCAGAGTTCAATCCCTGAGATCCACCTGGAGGGAGAACCTGCTCCACAAAGCTGTCCTCTGACCTTACACAAGGGCCCTGGCACACACACACACACACACACACACACACACACACACACACACACACACACAATATCTCCTGAGCTGTAGAAACTGGGTCACATGGACAGATCCGCCTTCCGATCCAATCATTCCCAGGACAGAGAGGACATCAACTCTGCAGGGTTAGGGACTTGGCTCAGTGGGTAGAACCCCAGTCAAACATGCATGAAGTCCGGGGTTTGATGCTCAACACTACTTAACTACTTAAACCAGGCATGGTGATGCACACACATAATTTCAGCCCTCAGAAGGCAACAGCAGGAGAATCCAAAACTCAAGGTCATCTTTGGATATGTAGGGAACTCAGGGCTAGCCTGGGCTACATGTCTCAAACAGACAGAACTGCAGGGTTAGTGACACATAACAAATTCTTCTTTCATGTCAATTTGCTATTTATTTTGAGACAGGGTCTCATGTAGCCCAGGCTTGCCCGGAACAAAGTAGCCAAAGATGACCCTGAATTAATTAATTTCTTCCTTCCTTCCTTCCTTCCTTCCTTCCTTCCTTCCTTCCTTCCTTGTTTTTGAGACAGGGTTTCTTTGTGCAGCTTTGGCTATCCTGGAATTAGCTCTGTAAACCAGGCTGGCCTTGAACTTACAGAGATCCACTTGCCTCTGCCTCCTGAGTACTGAGATTAAAGGCGTGCGCCACCACTGCCCAGCTATGGACTTGGATTTCTGATCCTCCTGCCTCAGCCTCCTGAGAGCTGGTGTGAGCCAATATGCCAGTTCCAACTTGTGGCTGTGAAGCCCGAAGTGAACACTAATTGAATCTGGGAGTTGGGGTAGGAAAAGATAGAGTCAAAGCCAGCAACGCTCTGGAATGGGACCTCCTCTCCTTACCATCTTTTTCTCTCGTACTTTTCCTGGAGAAACTCCTTCACTTTCTGAGGGTCCCTGGAATCTGGTATCAACGATGTCCGAGCGTCAAAAAGACCCAGCCAGATCTTGCGGCAGACCTGAAGGGATGGAACCAGTGGACGGGAGAAGCGTGAACGGCACCGTCAGCAGACCTCTGACTAATGACTTCGGGTCCATGTCCTCAAAGATGAAATGTCTACTGAGCTTGGGACACAGGAGGGGCCTGCATGCAACCACACCTCGGACAGAATCCTTGCCCAGCAGTTTATAAGCGAATAGGTCAGGCCTGACGTAAGCAAACAATATACATAAAGCAAGTGACAGCACATACTAAAAACAGAAATTCATCCCAAAGGCACTGCTGGGGGTTGGTAGGATAGGCTGATGGTCTGAGCTGGATCCCTGGGACCCAGATGATGAAACAAGAGAACCTTGTCCTCTTCCTACAACAGACAGACACACATACTCAGAAAATGAATAAATTCAAGGGGAACTGTTGGGTTTTCCAACGTCTCGAGGCAGAGATTGCTGGGAGGCGGGCACGGCTGCTGCCTGCTCCCTGGTGCTGGCCGCTCACCTCGTTTCCACGAGACTGGAGGAACAGAACTTCAGGTTCAGTGAAAGTTGTCATGGAGATAGACTTGACTCGATGTGGGGGGTTCAGACCTCTCCTGCAGGGCAGAGACACAGAGGTCAACCATAGCAGCGTATGCATGTAGTTAGTGAGGAGGGAAAAACCAAACAATAGCACATAAGATAGTTAGGGCCCCATCCGAGGGCTGGGGTGTGTCTTAGTGGTAGAACTCCTGCCTAGAATCCCCCGGTGAGGAGCTAGGAATATGGTTTATCAGTTGAAAATCAGGTGGCTTGGGCTAGATTCAAATTCAATTCCCAGCAACCGCATGGTGGCTCACAATCATCTGTAATGAGATCTGGCGCCCTCTTCTGGCAAATAGGCATACATGCAGACACAATGAATAAAACTTACAAAAGAAAAAAAAAAAGGAAAGGAAAATTGGTTGGCTTAGTATACACAAGGCCCCGGGTTCTATCTCCTCTCCAACACAGAGGGAGGGGCCAAGGGACAAGGGAGAAGTTCCTGCCAAGGACCAGCGAGATGGCTTAGAGGTACAGGAGCTTGCTGATCTGAGGACCCAAGGCTCACAACAGGGGGGATTATCCCTGCAAGTTCCCGTCCGACCACTGTTGGCACTGGGGCCCTTGTGCCCCACACACTAAGTAAGAATTTAAAGATCCCTGCCAAGAGCTAACTCCTAATATCAGGGGGGACGCGTAAATGAGGGACAGACACACTGTGACTGTCAGTGACTCTGGGGAAGGGGGCAGAGCCTGTTACGCAGACATCTCTTCTTGTCTGGCTCAGATCCTGTCCAGCTCAGCCTGTAGGCTGAGGGGTGGCTTCTGGGAGCCGAGACACTGGGCCACATCCCATTCCCTGCTGCTATTCTTGATCTGTGGTGGGACATCCTGAGGCCCCCGTGAACTCCACCAAGCATAAGATACAGCAGAAAAGGGGCCCTCGACTAACTCGGATGATGACGAGAGCTTATGTCGGGCAGCGTCAGAATCTGGAAGCCAGCTGCCTTGCTCCCTTAACAGAAGGATGGAGCTGGGGGTGGGAATAAACAGCCCCCGCCCCCGCCACCCCCTTTCAGGAAGCCGTATCTGGACAAAGAAATGCCCTAGGCTTTCTTCCTCCGAGATCTTTTAATAAAGCAGGAAGAAGCCAAGTGCAACCTTGAGACAGAGTGACATGGGCTCACGGCCATGCTTGCTGCTAACTCCCTGGAGAGCTGGGTCTACCCACAGACTCCCTGTGGGATTGCAATAGGAAAGAAAGATTTCTTAGCCCTACTCACTCGGCCTTCTGGTGAGGAGCTCTAACGGGATATGGGAGGCGGGGAGCGGGGAGGGGGGTGCTCAGCGAGGTGGGGGCTCCATGGGTTCCCCTTTCCTAAATTTACTTATTTATGTGCGCACATTACATGGGGCATACGTGTAGGTCAGAGGACAACCGGCAGGACTCGGCTCTCTCCTTCTACCATACGGCTCCTACTCGGGTCATCAGGCTTAGTGACAAGTGCCTTCACCCTCTGAGCCGTCTCCCCAGCCTTAGTGACAAGTGCCTTCACCCTCTGAGCTGTCTCCCCAGCCTCAGGCCCTTCTTGCTTTATATTTTAAAGTCCAGCCAAGCCAAAACAAAGAGATTGGACCAGGAAATGAGAGACCACGGATGCAGAGAAGAACACCTCTGCTGCTGAGGCCTCTCTGACTCTGAGACACTGGGTAGGTCCTAGGCCCGCAGCTCAGTTGGCGGAATGCTTCCTGAAACCCTGCGTAAACTCACTGTGGTTTACCGGCAATCACCGCTCTGCGGAGGCGGACCAGGTCATCCTTTCATCCCTGGCTATATAAGCAAGTTCAAGGCTAGCCAGGAATATGAGACCCTGTCTCAAAAAATGAATGAATGAAAATACGGGGCTGGAGAGCCGGCTCAGGAGTTTGGAGTACTAGCTGCTCTTGTAGAGGACCTGAGCTGGATTCTCAGGAACGACATGTGGGTCACAACTATCTGTAACTCCAGTTCCAGGGGGTCTGGTGCCTTCTTCTGGCCTCAGATAGCTGTGCCCAGATGGCACGCAAAATGCCCATACACGTAAAATAATAAACAGATTTAATTGAGGAATATATACCTACATTCACAGTTGCATGCACAGCACAAAGGCATCCCTGCCAAGTTTGGAAGAATGGCAGTCAACGTGCCAGCGAGCGTGACGGCAGAGTGTGGAGAGGGGCAGATGCCAGCCACCGAGTGAACAGAGGCGGCGGCTGCTCCAGGTGATGAATTGCTCATTAAGGGAATTTTAGCAAAGGCTGGGACACGGGAGGCTGCAGACGTGGTCATTTCCAGCCGTTCTGCTGCTAGGCTTTTGAGTAAGGTCTCTCCAAAAGCCGTTATAAAATGACAAACAGTATCCAAGAAGATGACGTCTAAGGAAAGATGGGAGGGAAACAGACAGCAGAGCTTGGGTCCTGGAGCAAACAATAGCCCTTAAATAGGATCTGCCCTGAAGTCTGCTGGGATCGGGTTTCCCAGGTAGTCCAGGTTCTCTGAGTGTGCTCACTAATGACTCGATGTGGTCTGGTTTTTTATTTGAGTCAGCCTGCTTCTTCCCCTTCATTATTTTTGAGACAGGGTCTCAAATAGTCCAGGTTGGCCTTGAACTTGCTATGTGGTTAAGGATGGCCTTGAGCTCCCAATCCCATTGCCTCTACTTCCCAAGCGCTGGGACTCCAAGTGGTACTGACGATGTCCCTTTCTATGCATGCTGGGGGTCTAACCTGGGGCTTCGTGCATGAACAGCCTACCAACTGAGCTATAGCTCAGTCACTGCAGCCTGCTTTTAACAAACCCTTTCTATTTACTCTGCTCAGCCTCTAGACTCTCCCTGCTCAAACCTCCAGGCTTTTCTGCACTCCAGCCCGCGTCCACCTTGTTGTCCCTGCACTGAGTCCTCCTTGTCTGTCTTTTGAGCTGGGTTCTCTTGTTACCCAGGCTGGCCGCCAACTTGACCTGCAGCTGAGGATGACCTTGAACTTCTGATCCTCCTTCCTCTCCCTCCGCAGTGCTGGGCTTACAGGCCTGCAGGCACCACCAGGGTGTGTTTCATGCGGTGCCTCCCTACATGCCAGGCGAGCACTCCACAAACTGAGCTGCACCCCGTGGTGCCTGTCTTTCCTTCTGTTTCTTAGACAAGGTTTCTTCACGAAGTCCAGGTTGGCCTAGAAGCTTTTATCTCCCTGTCTCTCCCACTTGATTCCTGAGATCACAGGCCTACACCACCACACCAGAGCACTGACAGGTCCTTACTCAACAAAGTATAAGGCATTAAAAGGGGACTTCGAGGGATTCAAAAACTAAAAGGCATAGTCTGTGACCACCAAGTGTATCCAGTGACCCAAGGAACTCACCATCATGGCACAGGCCTGTAATCTCAGCTACTTGGGAGGCCGAAGCAGGAGAATTCTAAGTTGTAGGACAGCCTTGGCTACACAGTTCAAGGCCAGCCTAGGCAAGTTGGTGAGACCCTGCCTTGAGACAGAAGACTGGGAAAAGACATAGGGGAGATAGTTTGAACCTGTACGGTGCTTGCTGTGCGAGCCTGAGATTCTGAGTGTGAGTCCCAGAACCAGGCATTGGGGTACACGCGTGTAACTCCAGGGCTGGGGGCAGGGACAGGTGGATTCCCAGGGCTTGTCAGCCCGCCAGCCTGGGCAAACTGCAAGCCTTAGGTCCCACCGAGGCCCCGTCAAAGCCAAGGTGGACAGCACCGGGGACAGCACCCGAGGCTGACTGGGGGACTCCACACAAGTATGTGCACATGAAGGTGTGCTCACACACGCACAAATACAGTCCTGTGCACGTGTCCCGGTATGCTCATGCGCATGCGCACTCAGACAGACAGACAGACAGACACACACACATACATACACACACACACTTTAGTGATGTAGCTCAGTGGCCTAATTTATAAAGTCCTGGGTTCCACCCCTCACCACCAAAAAAACAAAACAAAACAAAACAAAACAAAAAAAACCAACCAATCAAACAAACAAACCCCAAGGATGGAACTCAAGAAGCCTGTACAAGAGCTCTGTTGAGAGAGCTGGATTCAGGGTGTTAGCAGTGGGGAAGGAAGAGGACAGTCTGGTCACGGGAACAGTGAAATGTATTATGTTTACATTAGAAAAACAGATTTAACCCTAACGCAAGAAGGTCAATGACATTTCCTGAAAGGACAACCAGGAACTGTTAGCAGTTGGAAACACAGAGGCCCTTCCTTGTTAGGGGGAGGAGGATGGGGGAGGGGGAGGAGGGAAAGGAGGCGGGTCCCAGGCAGGCATCAATCAGAACTGCCCGGGCTTGGACAGGAGGGGTGTCTGGGGCGAACAACAGGATGAAGGAAGGCTGAGAAGTGATTGGAAAACCCAGGGCCAAATGCATCGGAAGGAACAGGGTGTTTCTGTAGGACAGTACCCGAGCACGGCTCTGACCTTGATGCCTGGGGACTGGATTATGAATAAGCAGAGTCTGGGGGGGCAGGGAGAACGCTCCACAAGGAGGCTGCAGCTCGGAAGAGGGCTCTGAGTCAGACCAGGTCTCTCTGAGCATACGGAGGCCACTGCTGGCTGCGAACACAGCCGCAGAAACAGGGCCCTCTCCTGCCAGCAGCCGAGAGTTGGCCTAGGTGTTTTGTGTTTAGTTGGGTCCAGGCCAGGGTCATGTGATAGGCCAGATGTGACTCACTGGCCTGGAATGAAACAGACCCAACCCTCTGGTTCACACCCAGTGTCCCCAACAAAACTCACATCTCTGCCGCCCTGCAACCCCAAGTTAGAAGGAGGCACTGCCCTTCTGTGATGGCAAACCCACGCCAGACACACTCGGAGAGTAAGTCTCCTTGCGCAGCTGAATTGGGCGATGGTTTTAAATTAGTTATCAGTGTACATGTGGTGTGTGCATGCATGTCCGAATGTGGGGAGGTTAGACGGAGACAGAGTCCTGCTCTGTGGCTTCCTACCTTACCACCCCAAGGCTGAACCTGGGGCAAGGCTGGCAGCCAGCAAGTCCCAGCAATGCCCCTGCCTC